GGTAAAAAAAAGTAAAAAATAAAATAAGAAGAACCAAGAACAACAGAGAGGAGGTAGGTGTGTGACACACACACACACACACACACACACACACACACACACACACACACACACACACACACACACACACACAAATCAATATTTAGCTTTATTCTATTTATATTCTCTTTTGAATTAAGAAATTAAAACATACATAATTTTAAAATTTGAAATATATGCACTTTCTTGATGCCAATTTTATTGATATATAGTAATAATAAAGTTTTGAAAATAAATTGCTAAAAGACCATGACAGTTAGACCCACCTGTTGTGAAAGGGTTAAGATGTTTAATTTTCAGTTCCGTAATGAAATATGCTACTATAGATATATAATTCCATACTTTATTTTTATGGTGCTGTAAATTTAATCTGAAGTACTGGTTTCCAGTAAATGGTATTCTGTTGAGATGCTTGTATGATTTTGTTCAGAATGCTAACAGAGATGGTATCTTCATGGGAGGAGGGCCTCCAACAAATGATTATGGATCTGTGCCTCCTGGTGCACAAGAGGTAAGAGACATTTGATTCTAAGATTTATTAAACACAGTTTATTTAAAAATATACATATACACATGTATCTCTACAGTAAGTTGTAGAGAACAAAATGGGGAACCTCTGTGATCCTTCACAGAACCCTCGAGTTCCCCAGAACAAGGATTTAAAAGCATATATTATGTTAATCTTAGAATATTTTTTTGCATTGTGTAATCAAAGCACCTAATTTCACATAACTAATCCATGAACAAATTTCATTTAGTGTTTTTAGAATGTATTTAAAACCCTTTCCAAGTGTCTAGTCCACACCGGCCTATCAATTTTCACAATTTAAATAAAAATTATAGTTCTAAATCTCTTTCTACAGTATGCTGCACAGAAAACTAGAACCCACATTCTTTGTTGAGTGATGAGTGTAGATGCTGTGCTAAATTAAACAGTGAGGATTTCGCTAACGCCATTAAGGCCAAAAGATGCCTTGTGAATAGGGTTTGATAGTAGACCTCACCACAACAAAGGTTTGTTCCAATTTGGGTTTTTGTAAGAGCTTAGATAGAACTTTGCTATAAAATTTAACTTGAAATCATTGATTTTAATACTAGAAGTTGTTAATAACTTACATCAGTGGTTTTCAAGCTTTGTAAAGCCATGGAACCATCTTATTTCATTCATTATGTCATGGAACTCCTAGGTGAAAGTGGCCGAGTTCATAATGGTATCATTTATGTAAAATTGTACATAGATATACAAAATATATCATGCTAAATATCAACTAACTCATGATGTTTAAAAATATATTTGGTCCCTGGTGGGTTAACACTCAATAATTGAAGAAAGGAAAAACAAAATGTGCCATGATCTGTTATCTTTATGGGGAACCTCTGTGACCCTTCACAGAACCCTCGGGTTCCCCAGAACAAGGTTTAAAAACTATGACTTATGCAAAACTTTTTCACAAAATCTAACTGTATTACAAAAAATGAACTCTTGTTAGTCTGGGTATCAATAATCTGGAAGATTTTCCATATGAACAAAGCTTCACATTGAGAAATTTATTCAGAAATCCTTATGTTCGTGTTCCAAATACAAACAGCTATATCTTAGAACAAACATGCATTTTCCATTGTATGCATGATTTGGTCATCAGTATGTGACTGCATGAGAGTTTTGATCAGAACAAGAAATGATGAGATAATTGCTGAGCACAAAACATCTGCACTAACTAGCAGGTACTAGTTTATGACAAATTTTCTGAGAACTACTGCGCACCACCAATTTTCTGGCACTTCCTTGAATCCGGACAAAATTATGAGTGTGTACCTAATTCCCATGACTGCCAGACTATTTCACTGGGCAGCCACAGATTGCATTTCATGTGGCGCGCACTCTTTTGGGATGGGCTATTTACATTTTAAGTAGGTACGTCACTCTAGTGAACATTTTCTTATAAATATTAAACTAGTGGATCAAATTGCTTGAATTTTTTCATGAACGTTGTCCAGAATATGTAGTTTAACAAGAAACAAATATTTAGTTCAATTTTTTACAACACAGAATGTTGATAATAGTGTATGAAAATTCAAAATGTAATGTACTTAAAAATAACAATGATAATAACAGTAAAATTCTAAATTTTGCCACTTTGGAAGCTGTACTACTGCAACATTCTTTATAAGTACAGTAATTAATAAGCCTCTATAATTTATACCTGTACTAATGTATTTCATTAATCATTTAATTCACATTTAATATTTGTTTTATTTAAGTTTCTAGCAGTCCATGGTGCTTTAGAGACATGGGAGAGCTATAATTAGTGGGTTAGAGGTGTATTGTTGAGTTAATATTACGTAACCTCTGTTGGTTCAGCAAGGCTGTGGAACCAAGGGTGCCGGAAAATCGGTAGTGTACCTGTACCATAACTTACTGCCCATGCAAGATGCAGGTGGAATAAGGACACCTAGATCATGTCATCGGTGTTCTTGGTGTGGCTGGAGAATTTGAAGAGAAGGATGCACTCAAATAAGAGAAAAATCATTTACTTTGTGAATAATGCTTCTAGTTCTGCTGCACCAGAGCTGTTTAATGTAACACTGTACCACATGCTGTCAAACACCATTTTAGTGACACAGGGATAATCAGATTATTTAAAGCTTACTACTAACATTAGTTGGTTAGAAAGTATATAGATTGTGCTGAAGATAACAATTCACTAACTGTAAATATCTGTAAAGCTTTACAATTGGTTTTGCCTGGTCCATTGTTACTATAGAAACTATTAAAAATTTTAAGTGTGTCAAGATCTTGCTGCAGCCTGGGCAGAGTGAACTGTTGATCTTTTTGAGATGTCATTAATGAGATTGTTTATTGTATTCATACCTTAATCTCAGGTAGTAATAGTGCTGTGTCAGCTGAAGACAAGTTTGTGGTGACTGTGAATCTGTCATTAAAATGGTCAATCAGTCAAGCCAGTCATTCTGAGAAGAGCACAATCTAGCCTTAAGAATTTCTTCACATTGTTCAAACAAAATGGTTATTTATATGAAGAAGATGACATGATGATGTGTTATTTGCTTAAAGCTGTTAAGAAGCTACAAAAGAAGAATATTTCAGTTCAAAAGCAAATTGTAATTTTTTGGAAAGTGAGTTATTGTAAACGTGACCAATACTGTTTATTTTGTGTTCTGTAAGTAACTACTGATTGATTTGAACAAAATGATGTCATATATTAAGATAATGAAATGACACTTTTGTTGTGGAACTTGTGTAATTATTGACAATGTATAGAATAATATTACTGATAAGCATATTGTACATACAGTTACTTTTTGTTTACCAGTTGCATGCCCACTCTTACTAGTTTGAAACCTATCATTTATTGATCAATAATGCATACTATTAATAGTGTCCAATAGTATTCAAAATGACTGAGTTGATTATCTAGATGTCTCAGTAATACATATGAAGTAGCTCAGTAGAAATGTTCAGATCAATGAAGTTTCACTGTATTGAATTTCATAACTAAAATTAATGTTTAAGAAACTTTCTTTCATTTTGTATTAACTCTGACTACAGCCTGCATGCATTGCAACTAGCCTGTATCCACCGAAGTAACCACAAGAGTATTCGTACTATAACTTTTTATAATGTATACGTATCTTCATGAGATTTTACAGACTAGCAGTAAACATTACAAGGCTGTAATACACAAAATAGCACCCACCAGTGGCACAGCGGCATATCTGCGGACTTACAATGCTAGAAACCGGGTTTCGATACCCGTGGTGGGCAGAGCACAGATAGCCTTTGTGTAGCTTTGTGCATAATTAAAAACAAACAAACAAAATAGCAGATTTTTTAAATTAAAGATTTGCTTGTGAATTTTTTTTTTTGGAGCTGACTATCCAACTTGCAAAGTAATTTTGATTTTAAGATTGAACATTTTCAAATTTCATTTGCATAATCTTTAACTTCCTAATAACCTTTAGATAACTATCAAACTTTGTATTTTATTTGTTATTTTTTCTACCTTAACGCTATGCAGGGTTGGTGAACTTGTCTGACCTCATAACTATCATAAAAAATTAAGAAATAAATCTAAATTATGTTTTTGTTTTAGAATGACTGCAAATTAACAGTATACATCTATTTATATTTATTAATTTTATTCACCTTTGAACTGTGTCTAACTATTAATAGTGCCTCACAGGCTGTTAACCACATGGTGCATCTGCGGCTCGTGTCTCCTTATCGAATAGCATAAAACTGGCCTTTATAAAGCACAAGTGTTATCTTTGTACTAGTGCTCCAGTTTTTGTAAATTACAATCATTCAGTTATCATACGTCACACATGTATATATATTTGTTATTACTATTTACAAATAAATTCTTAAATTTCATTTACTTTTCTTAAAATGTTAAACAGTATATAAAAAATATAGAAAACAATGATCTGTAGTACTTGTGATGTTTATAAAGTTTATTTGTACTTGCTAAGCCTAGTCGAATTTGACACATGGAGGATGTAAAAAATATTTTTTGTATATTTTATATATGCATTTTGAAGTAATAAATTGTAAATTATTATACCAATATCACAAAATTCCACTGCAGTTTATCAGACTTCCTAACTAAGCTGTATTTGGGTCTAAAAAAGTATTTCCAATCCCTGTGTTGCCTTGATACCATTCTTCAAACTTGAAACGGGAAAGGCGGTTTTACCCATGTAAAATTGATAAAGACTGGTAGAATTTGAGTTCAAAATGAGTGCTTTTGATTGGTTATAAATATGTAATTGAAAAGTGGATGCAGATGAACAAGTATTTTCAAAAATGAAGAGGAGGACAGAGCCACCGTTGTAGATTCACTAAATATAATATATCAGAAAAATATTTTATATTCTAGCTTGTCAATATTGGTAATTGAAGGCTCTAATTCATAAGAAACTATAGATGTTGTAATGTAACCCGATTAAAAGTAGAAGACAACATACCGCATGACACACAAAAATTGATGTGTAGCAATTTTTTTAATGTGTACTTTTAAGTTAAGAAACTAAATAATGTATAATACTAAAATCTGAATTATAAACTACAATTTGATGCCAAATTTATTGACATACATTCATAAAATAGTAGTTTAATAACATTTTGAATGTAAGTGTAAACGTGATGACATGCATTAGGGTTAATAAATTTGCCACAGTTATGATGCTGTTAAAAGTAATATTGCTTGTTTGTCGAGATGGTTTTGAAAACAGAAATGTTTATGGTAATAAAATTGTACAGTGGAGATTCTTTATTTTGGAAATCTTAGTTATGTTTGGACATTGCTGGTAGTTTTATAGTTCATCACTCTTCTTTTTATGGGATGATTGTTCAATAGATTTTAGTACCAAGGCAAGCAGTTGGAGTGGTTATAGGGAAAAGTGGAGACATGATTAGACGAATCCAGCAAGACTCTGGAGGAGCTAAGGTCCAATTCCAACAAGGGAAAGATGATGGTCCAGGTGACAGAATTTGTTTAGTCAGTGGAAACCCAGAACAAGCTCAGAGGGCTGCAAACATCATACATGACCTGATTCGCAGTGTTTTGGTATGCTAAAATCTCAAACTTAACATTCAATAAAATGTCTTTAAACCATTTCAGACACCATGGAGATGTTCATTTAGTATGAGTTGATTTCTTAATGTTAGTATTTTATGCACTGTATTAGATTCTTTCACAGGTGAGATAAAAGTGTCACAACTTTTTTTAGTTACATTCAATATTTAATTTAAATCTTATTATCAATGTATGTCAATAAATTTAGCACCTAAACAGTTTATAACTGAAATCTTAATACCTTAAAAGTTTTGAATATTTAATATCAGAAGGAAATAATTACATTCACAGTCTTCATTTCTGTATCATGTGACACTTCTTTGCTCTAAATTGCGAATTTTAGATTTTCTTTCAACCCCTATATGATCTTCTGAGTTTGACAGAAATTACATGTTTATAGTATAGATATTGTAAAGCCATAATATAAATTTCTAGCTGCAAAGCTTCTTGCTCTACTGGAATTTAAACAAGAAAGTCAAACCTATATGCTGTTTCATCCTACCACATCCTTTCTTTCAAAAAAGTCAGTAAATTTCTCTTGACATTTGCTAATGATTAATTAATTTACTAAATTTTGTGTAAGGGTAGCTTGTTTTCACAGCAGATTTTGAATTATTTGGTCTTAGTTTAATTGTTTGTTATTGTGGAGATGAGCTTCACTAGCTAACAGAATTTTAACAATATGTTTAACCCATTTATAGCTTAGTTGGAAAGCCAGCTAAATGATCGTAGTTTTAGGATATTGTATGTTTTTTGTGTTGTATTTTTTGTGCAAACTTCATATATATATATATATAAATTATTTTATGTACCACCAACATTGTTACAAAAAAGTAGGGTTAACCATTCATCAGGGCCTGATGTGGTTACTAAATTTCTTTATGTATATATATAGTATCAATTGTAAAAGTTCCTAAAGTAAAAAATTAGAAACTTAGGTTAGATGAGAAAAAATAAAACATACTTGTGATAGCACAAACACATCAAAAGGGGTGATTGAGTAATTTGAGTGTATGTGCTGGTAACAATCTGTGTGTAAGGTGCAGCTGTTTAGGAATAAAAGTAAATAAACCTAGATTTGAAAAAACTTTGTTAGCTTTGACTGTAAGGATAAATAGTATGTAATTGTTACAACATGCAGTCATTCTAGAAAGGAAAAAGGATAATTTACACTTATTTTGTATTTTTCAACTTTTCAGCAAAATTAGTGTTAGAGAAAATAAAAAATGTAAAATCCTACTGGAAAAACTTAACATTTATATCAGAAATTCTAGAGGTTATGCAACTGAACTATGAAAACTAAGATGAAAAAAGTATTTTTATTCATAACACAAAAAATCACCTTGCATTCAGGCTAGTCAGATTGACTCAGTAAATTCACAGACATATCTTCAGTAAAAATACTTTAATAAAAATTCAATCTTTTTTTCTTTGTGTACAATATACTTGTAAAAATTACTAAAAGCTTCATTAATTTTGTCAATGACTCAGTGCACATAGGGTTAAGTGAACCTGGTGTCAAACTTTTAAAGGTAAATAAGAAAGGCATGTAGGCATATTACTTAGAGTACTTAAAGCATTCTATACTTATTGGTCACACTATGTATGTAACATCAAATTTAACATGCTTACAGAGGAAAGTTTGAAAGGTGGATTTATATTTTGGATCCTATTGTGCAAAAGGTACATAAAAACATAGATTTTCTAATTCTGAACTTCAAAAGAAATATGCTGATATAATGGAGCCTTATTTTTTAATTGTTTAAGCCAATTTTATTTTTTTGTGGCTATTCATTTGACAATATAGATAAGCAATAATAAATAGGTTTTACTAAATTGTTAATATAATTTTCGTTAAAGTTGTGTAAAATTTTGTAGAATGTATGAAATTCCTGATTCATACTTCAGTAACATATTTATTTGAACATACACAAGTATTTTCTATTGTAAAAAACAAAACCAGAATTGTTTAAAGTGATAAGTGATTGTAATTACTCAACATTTGCACAGTATTAGAGCCAGACATCATCAGGTGTTTCACTTGCTTCAAATGTCTGGTGTCAAACTTGTGCTACAGTAACATTAGGGATTAAATTTCTGTGGCATACTTATGTGTCACAACAATAACTGTTTCCTTACAATAATATAAATAGATCAGTGGTATAAATTTTTCATATTTAACTCTTTGTTGTAAGGTGATTTTCTTAATTTTAGTGGATTACTGGGATATGTAAATGCTCTCTCGAACAAATTTTGTGACAGAATACTTTGAATTGTAGTGTCAAATTTATTATTAGTGTAAATAGATTAATAGACTGTGCTACATAATATTTATGATATAATTTGATATAAAAAATATAAGATTAAATTTACCTTTGCATCACACTTTAAACTAAAATTTGGTTTAATATTTAACCCTACATGCATTTATCAGTCAGTATGACTGACCTTGAAAAACTACAAATGAATACATACTGGAACTAAAACTTTACTCATGAAATTTGGCAAGATTTTAGTAAACATTATAAGCCTGTTATACATAAAAAATCAGAGTTTTTAATGAAATATTTATATTAAAGATTAGTCTGAATTTCTAAAGCCTTCACTGATGGATGCAATAATTTTTTATATCTTCCAATTTTCATATTTAATTTGCATAAACTCTAAATGAATATCAAGTGTTTTTAAGGTAAAACTTCATATATTGCTTTTATTTTCTCTACTCTAACACTAACTGTAGCAAGATTATCAATATACAGTAAAATTTAATATTTCAAAAATTCTGAAGTAAAGATGAACAATATTTCTTCTTTGAATGTATAATTTTTGAGATTGTCAGTTTTTTATATTAAAAGTTTCAACTGCTTACCTTTTTACATCTCTTTAATTTAATCTTGTGGTTTTATTACCTGACTAGTACCACAGCTTATTCATCCACAAAAAGCAATACACCATAGTGGGAACTCGGCAGATTCTTGTACACTGACATACTGCATGGAATGCTACTGTTCACTTGAATGTGTAATTAGATAGGATTATTGTTTTTTCTCTTAGTTTGTTGTTGAAACTAAAATTATTATACCTTTCATATATGATTTAGAGCATAAATAATACATCTCACTAAAACGGAATATACAAAAAATAACTAATTTAACAGGCTCTCTAAACAGTAAATAGGTTAAAAATGATAATGCTATGGATGGCAACTTTGCTTACACACACAATAGTCACTTCCTTTCAACTAATATATAGTGCTATCAAATTCAAAGGGTGGTTGCCATCTTGGAAAAAAAAAAACTTTCTATTGTTATAAGCATGTGCACCAAGTCAGAAAACATGGGTTTTAATAATGTATTGATATCTCGGCAGCAAATGGAAAAGTTAAGCTGTTTAAACTGTAAATTTGATGTCATTATTTATTTGTTTATATTAGTTAGACACTGTAGATTCTACGCTATCAAAGTTATAGAAATTAAACAGGAAAATTAAGAAAACACATTAACATCCTTTGTCAATGGAAGTGAAAATTGAGGATTTATTTAAATTATAAACTGCATTTTGATGCCAAATTTATTGACATACAGTGGTAAAGTTGTGTAATTTAGTAAAATTCTGTGACATGCAATGAATTGACATTTATACTTAAATGGTTAGGAATGTGTAATGTATAGGAACAGAAATGCAATAGTCATTCAGTTAGATTTGAAATGATCTGTGTGTTAATTAGTGTTAATAGGAATGAAAACATTTTTTAAATATTTCTAATAGATGAGAGACCAACAAAATGTTGGTAGAGGACGTGGCAGAGGATATGATGGGGGCCCAGGAGGCCCACAATTTGGTCCACCAGGTCCAGGAATGGGAAGAGGTCGACCTGATGGTGACATGCAGGAAATTACTTATTCAGTTCCTGCGAATAAATGTGGTCTTGTCATAGGCAAAGGTTAGTTAAAATTTGAAATCACTTAGGTTTCATACGAAGCTTTTATTAAATTCTCAATGTGATTGTCATTAAAAATTTGTATACAGTTTTGTAGCATATGTGAAATTTCAGATTCATGCTTTATTAAGATCTTTATTTGAATATATAAAAGCTTGCTGTTGTAGAAAAGAAAGCAAACAAATTTTGAAGTGATTATCTGTAATTACTCAACATTTGCACAGAATTAGAGCCAGACATCATTGGTATTCCACTTGTTTCAAATATCTGGTGTCAAACTTGTGCTACAGTGACATTAGGGATTATATTTCTTTGGCATATTTGTTAGTTTCTATTTCCTGACAATAATGTAAGATTTAAATACATGTACTGGAAGAATTCACTGTGAACTTTATTTATTTCTACAACTTTTCATATAAATTTGTCAAAAAGTATAAACCATTATTTATTGTTTTTGAAGTAATACAATCACAAACAGCAAGTGTAGTGCCTATTTTTTATCATTTTATCTGCAAGTTTAGAAACTAAAGACTGTCATAATGCTGGTAAATGAAAACTGTTTAATTCTGTATGTGGGATTTCTCTCATTATAAAAGATTTGTAACTTATTTTAGAATATTAAATATTTTTTAATTTAGGTGGAGAAGCAATAAAGGGAATTAACCAAGAGAGTGGAGCACACGTTGAATTGTCAAGAGGACCACCTCCAAACCCTCATGAGAAAGTGTTTATTATCAGGGGAGCTCCTCAACAGATTGAGCATGCACAGCAGTTGATAAATGAAAAAATTGGAGGAAGTGGAAATGTACATCCAAATGGTGGTGTAAGTATAGTGGAATCAAATACTGGAATCTTCATGTTTACCAGATTCAGTTTATAAACATTGACTTAAATAAAACTTTTAATATTTAGTTTAATTTGGTGGAGCCATCAGTTATTGGATTGACAAGTACCACTAATCTCCCAGCTCTTATCTAAATAAAGTACAGCATGTAAATATCATAAATCTGTGTTATAAATTTGTCTTGTGTTAGAGTTGATACTTTTTTCTTTTACCAATTAGGGTTTTTTTTGTTTGTTTGTTTTTTATTTGGACTCATTACCAGAAACATGTTTCTAATAGTAAATTTTACTGTTAATAAATTGTAGTGTTGAAGTTTTAGACATTTTATCAGTTTTTCAGCTAACATATAAAATTACATGTTTTATATAGCCTCCTGGACCTAATGGACCAGGGCCTGGTCCTGGACCTTACCCAACACAGTACCCTCAACCTTAGTAAGATTTTTACTTTTATAGATATATAATTATATAAAACTTTCACAGAACAATGTTAGAACATTTAGAAAGTTTGGTACAACAACAGCGTAATAAATGTCTAACATAAATTTATTATTTTTATATATTTGTGTCATAGCTCAAAACAAAGTAAAAGATTTGGTGTTTGATGTAACTAAATCTACTAATTAATGTAACAAGAATAAACTGTTAATTTTTAATCATTTCCAAATATTTCACTTTTAACTTTATTCATCAGTGGAGAAAGTAGAATATATAATTTATAACACATTTGTGAAAACTAGGATTTCAATAAAACCAACATCTGGAGTGAAGTTTGTCAATGATAATGAACATTTTGTAAAGGCCTTGCTTAATCTACCATGGATTGAAGAAATAGTAGGAAATTATTAGTGAATATTAAAGTATTGTACATTATTATGGCTGAAATAGGTTTGTGGTAAGCAACCTAGATGTAAGGAAAACAAAGTTTTATTAAATTACTTATTGACATGTTTCATGAAATTGGATATAGAAAGTGTAAAACTAAGAGTTCTAGATTATAGAAATACAAACAACCCAATCTTTACAGTGTTTAATTGGTTGACTTTTTTCTACAGTCAACAGCAGCCTGCACCACCAAACCAACACTATGCTCCACAGGGGTGGGGCAATGCCTACCAACATTGGCAAAACCAACCAGCAGCACCAAATGATCCTAGTAAGTAATGTAACTTATTGTCTAGTGTAAAATTAATTTTTGAGATGCTTAGAGGGTTATTTAAAGTCTTAACTAACATGGTTGCAAAAAGTACTCCATTACACTTGTATTCATACAATGAAAATTCTTGACCAAACTTGATACAGATTTTTCTTAAGTGGTATGGTGCATACACATCCTTGAAATTGAGATTGCAATTTAAAGTGCTTGAAAAGGGGCCTTTTTTTTGTAAACGTACTTGAAGATATTATAATGGCAGAATATATTGATATATCTAACTTTAATACATGTTGCAGAGTTGAGCGAAATAACTATAATCTTTCTTTTCATTTTAGTCTACATTCATGCATTGAACAAATAAATAGGAATTTTATGAAATTTCAATGGAATCTGATTGATTTTGGTGTAGATTTTAGCTTATAAAAAGTGCTTGAAAATTATCTGAGCAATTTAATATGAACCATGCTAGTTCCTACCTAAAAAAATTTATTAAATTTGATTCAGTTTTTCTATAACATTTTTAGGTGGTAAAATTTCTAAAATTCTCTTCTGAAACACTGATTTCAGAAAGAAAGTCATGCTAGACTCTTATTTATTGAAGACCAAATAGTTCCATTATATATTTATTTGGTCAGTTTATGGCTTTCTTGTTTGATATTCATTAATATTGATTCTTTATTTTGCCAATTGAAGCACATAGATTATACAAAACAACAGTCAGACCAAAAATGTTTTATCCGGGACTTTTAACCTCACCTTTCAACATGCTGTCACCTTCATCTTTGTCGAGCCTTGTGGAATATCATTTTGCAAACAATATCTGATAGTTTATTTTCAGTAAATAAGTTCTTGTATATGTGTATTTAATCAAAAACACCTTGGATGTGAAAAAAAGGTGTGGCCAAACCGATAGTTACACCATTGGTAAGGATTTTATAGCATTAGTTAACCAGGCCACATTTTTTGTTCAACTTGAGGCATGATGGTGGGTAAAACAAAATATACATATGTCTTCTGCTCTCTTGTTTAGGCATTGAATTTTATCACATTTCACTGAGATTGGATGATAGGACTGGAAGAATGGATGGGTTTTCTGTAAACGTTTGTGATGAGATACCCATCAATACAAAATGCCAAAAGATCATAGTGTGTTTTAAACAGAACAGTTGCACCTCTACCATCATCAAAAACTACCTGAAGAAGACCACAGCTGGAAGAAAAGATGTGAACACTACCATTTACATGCAAAATTTCAGTGAACTACTGAAATGTATAGCCAAGAAGTTCAACATAGATGTCCAATGAAAATAAGATCTATTCTAGTGAAAACCAAACAGGAAACTACAAATGAATAACATCTGTGAAATTCCATGTTTTTGCAACAAAACATATACATTGGAAAAACCCGAAGAAGACTGGACAAGAACACAAAGACAACACAAGACTCGTGAAAATACAAAATTCAGCAATTGCAGAACATGCCATATCAACTGGACACAAAATAAACTGGGTTAATACTAGAATAATAGACACAAACAAATTGGAAAACAAGAAAAATTGTAGAATCTTTCTACATTAACACAGAGATTTGGGATTAGAGGTGAGCAATCTATGGCTACGATTGGTTGAAACCTCATGCAGTCTTTCCATCCATCAGAACCAGGGGTAAACAAACCAATCACAATACATCCACCAGGATACTATATAGACCTGCAACATTTTGCACATACTGACCTGAAGATTTTTTTTTTTGGAAGTGTTAAGCTTATTTTGTAGTGCAAAGGCACATACAAATAAATGTGAAACTGTTGTATGTAGGGTGTAAAACACCTTCTAAAATTATTTTTAAAAGCAAATAGATCTGTGAAATTAGTAACTCTGACGAGGTTGAGTGCTTTATCTTAAAACAGTTTTTGGCGTCACAGCTAGGTTCAGTCATGCTCTTTCTTACGACTATACATTTTGACAATAACCATACAATATAGTTTCCATTGCAAAAAACCTGTCATAAGACTGTCATGTCTAGAACACACCATTTCCTCCATAAATTTTGAGTAGGTAATTATTAAACTCTTAAAAGAACAAAAGGGTTAAATTCAGTCTTTTATTCAAGTATTTAATGTTGTGAAAAATTTAGTGACAAAATGATGTATTTTACTTGTATAGCAAAAGCTGCTGCTGATGCAAATGCTGCAGCATGGTCTGCTTATTATGCTCAGTTTTATAATCAGCAACCACAGGGGCAGCCTCAACCCCAAGGCCAACCACAGCCTTCCCAGCCACAGCCAGCCCAACAACAATCACAGCCTGGTAAGAATTGAGGTTAAATGGTATAAAAAGTTTGATACAATATAATATGATAATGTAATATACATAAACTGGTTTAACTTGAGTCTTGGCAACATGAATAAAGGTTAGGTTATAGCTTATATTAGATTTTTAATTATGATATGACAAATTACAGTTTTAAAGAAAAATGAAAGGGTGGGTGGACATTCTATGTTTGATAACCCTATGTAGTATCAAATGCTTTAGTCCATCAGAATTTAAAGTCATCTAAGGAAGGGTGTGTTCCTGTCCAACATGTTTTTAAAATTCATATTTATTATGTACCATTTATTTGTGATATAAAACTTTTTTCAATTTAATTGTACCACGGTGAATTTGTGAGACTTGTAGTCGTTATTAATACATTTCTGAAACTCTTGACTATTTTTAATGAAATGATAATCTTTTGTTTTTGGTGTATGGAGTAGTCTCTCCATATGGTTTGTTTTAAGTGTTACTGTACTTGACAGCAACTACAGCAGGTGGACAACCTGATTATAGTGCAGCGTGGATAGAATACTATCGAGCTTTGGGAAAACACCGAGAAGCAGAGATTATTGAGCAGCAAGCTCGTGCTAACCAACAGGTTAGTTGAATTTTATATGCTTCATCCATACATTACCTGATAAACAATAAAGGTTTAATTACTATATGTGTGTGCTATTTTAAGGATATCAACTACTGCATGTAATAATGTTTACAAATTTTTGTTTGTCTGCTTACCTAGACCATTTATGAATCATTTGAAAGATAATATAATTTTAACCAGAAATAATGAAAATGAATACTTGTGACTTAGAACTGCTTAAGTAATAGCTCTTCTTCAGTCTTGAAAATACCTGTACTACAGTATTTAAGCGGAGGACCTGTACCTAGATTTTTCATTTTTAATTTGGGGAGAATATTGTATTTATTGTGTTTTTAATATTCAACTTACTAATTTGGATTGTTGTTGTTCCGTTAGTTAATTTTAAGTGTGACTTAAGTCATGAATAAGTGAATGTTGGAAAACAAAAAGCCTTATATGGGGAGATGTTACCATTTATAGTAAATGTTTCCTATGATTTGGTTTTTCTTCAGAATAATAGTTCTAAAATTGTTATATCAAAGGACTTGTATGAAAAATTTGTTGACATGCTAGGTTGGTTCTGGTAGAGCACTGATTTCATGTACCCATTCTTGAATCAGTACTAACTAGTCATGTTCACATCACTTCTGCAACTGTAACTCCACATAATTTCGTGCACTACAATACACAAAACTAATGCCTACATTCTTTGTGGGGTTCTGGGTGTCAATGCTGTGTGAGAAGAAGAAAAAAGGATTTTACAAAATGATAGAGGCCAAGTATAAACTGTGAGCTTTGTTTATAAAGTTTCTTGTAGGCCTAGCATCAGGATTTTTTATAAATAATTTTAGATTAAACATGCCTTGGGCACTTTAACGTATGTAGAATATTTTGGTAGCTTTTTAGACAAGGTGAGAGTGCTAGTTATAGTACATCCACTCTGTACACTTTGTAAAATATTAAAACTTGTTTGCAAGTTACTTGTATTGGTCAGAGATGCTTCACGATATATTATTCAAACAATAGAGAAAATTTAGATTCTGATGCTAAATGGTTGAAAATCTTTATTTCCAAGTACAACTTGGACGGATCTTGAAATTATGAAATAAGCTAAAATAAAAACAAGCATTGTTATATATTTATAACTAATAACTTGTATCCCTAAAAATTCATTGAGCTTATAAATTTTATATGGTGTTTGACAAATATACCAAGTTGCTATAACCAGAAGTGAAATATTTGTTTAAAAAATTACTTTATTGCATTTGGTATTATTCTTATTGTTGTTTCACAACAACACAACTAACAGTGTAGAAAAATTAACAATATGCTGCCTTTCTGTTTGTAAATACTAGGTAGGACAACAATATGCTCAGCAGCCACAACCTTCTCTAGCTCAGTCTTCTGCTCCAGCACCACAAGGACAACAGCCACCTACAGCACCTCAGCAGCCACAACCTGCACCAACTGGAGCTCCTCAAGGACAACAGTATGGGGGTCCAGCTCCATCAGCTCAGTGGAATCCTGGAGCATATACCCAGCAGCAACAACAACAACAACAACCCCCACCTCAACAGCAGCCCTTTCCCCAACAAAATCCATATGCTGGGTATAATTACTCTGCCTATGGGCAGTAATATTGTGTACGTCAAATTAGGTATGCTGGTAGGTATAAAAGTAAGGTAGCATATTCCTCAGTGTTTTAAACGTTTCAAAATAGCTTTTCAGTTGTGATATAATATGGGAGGCTATTTTTGTTGTGTGTGTGTGTTTTTTTTTTCTTCTTCTTCTTCTTTCCAAGTGTTCAAATTGTTATTAACAGGTTTGTAAATTGGAGCAAAATTAAAAACTAACCACAAGTAACATTGTGAGATTGTCACATCTGTTTTGTAAAGATGAAGTATGAAAGAAAAAATACAAACTGTACAACCTTTTATCCAGTTTGAATCATCTACAGAATGATTCATATCAGTTTTTCATGCTTTCTTTAACAATGTACCACTGTTTAGGTGCTGTGGCAAAGATAAGAAGTTGCTGTAAGTATAATTGACTTTCTAGTGTTTCATTTATTACCAAGGGTCATGCATATGAAAACCAATTCTTGAAAATGTTTAAATAACATTTCGGGTAATCTTTGGTTTGGTTGTATTGTACTCTGTTTCAAAAGCTGGGAGAACAAATGGTACGTGTGACCATTGGCAGAGCTGCCTGGTTGGAGGTCAGACAGTTTTTGATGGCCCTCATCTTGGCCAAGTTAGATATATAAGGGTAAGTACCAATGGCAGAAAAAGCAAGATAACAGGTTTGGTGTAAAAATGAATGTCTTTTTCCAGAAGCAGTGAAATCCAGTTTGGAAAACAGTGTGTGAAATTTGCTGTTGATTTTTTTGCAGAAAAAGGAGTTCATTGCTGGTCTGTCATACTTGAAATTTGATGATGATGATGACTCCATTTGAAGGGTTTCCTGAATATATCTTGTTTTTGTGGTAGTGATTTGTGTCTATGTGTACCCAGGTAACTATGTGGATGCCCATGAAAAATTCAACATACACAACACAAAATTTTTATTTAGTTTCATTATCATGACAAGTAGTTTTTAAACAAGTACATTTAACTGTTAATAACTGTAGGACTTCCAGTAGGTAGGTCTCATTTTTAAACCTATCTCCTTTCACTTCTTAAGGGTCCCTGTATGAAAAAAAATTGTATAGACGTTGTGATGTTCTTAAATTTGGTTGAATGTAACTTGCATTGATTCTAGGATTTTACAGTGATGGTCTACACTTCACATTCCTTGGTATTAATAGTGTCTGTTTTAAATAACATGCTTGAACTTTTGTAAATCACCCCCACTCCTATGCAAAAGAAAATTTATCCAGATGTTTTTTCAGTACAAACTGTAAGACAAGAATTGAAGAGGATAAAAGTCAAGGCAAGGAAAAAATGAGTACTTTTTAAATAATTTCTGGGTCTTTTAGATGTGAAAAAATGAAACAGACTTATAAGTAATATTAACAGTTTATGATACTAATGAATTTGTTTTTGAATTATTTTATTTCTGTGAATTACAAAAACTATCTTTCCAGTGTTTAAAGTACGACTGTAGGTTCCTCTTGTATGGTAAGGCTTTCTTTAGTTTACCAGTGACATACACGCACACACAAACAAGTGTGTGTTGTGATTCGGGCTTAAAAAAGGGCTTTTAAGGAGTGAAAGTTTTTAGCTGTGTATGACACATTGTTTTGTACCCTTGTGATCAATAAATCATATTTTCAGTGCTTAATAAAGTTAAGGTGATTAAATTTTGCCTCTTGTTTGTGTCTACTTCATGCCTGTTTGAAATGTTAATGGATTATTTAGTTAACATTAAAAAGATGTGATAATAATTTGGTTAATTTAATTATCTAGATTATAAATTGGTAATTTTTTATGGTAATATTTCTGAATCAGAATTTTGTTGGATGTTAAACACTAAATGATTGTTAACATTTCAAAAATTGATTTACTTTGATTGTAAAATATGCAATTCAAAGTCTTGCTTTTTGGTTATCCATAATGCCATAATGAAACATTAAATCTTTGCCATTATTAAACTATTGAAATTTACATGAATTAAGAAAGAACGTGTTTTAATTTCATAATTAGTTTTTGTTCAATGTTTATACTTTAAAATAATTTCTAAATTAAGAAATTTTTTAGAATATAAAAATTGACCATAACTGCTTTGACTTTTGAAAAACTTAACTTGTGGTTGTATCCTATTGGAAAAATCATTTTTCATATTTTTACTTGACGAAAGTGTTAAATGTTTAAACATAGAACTTATTACAAATTGGCAAACAAATGGTGAAACTGCTTTTAAATGACCTAGTTTGGGTGCACATGCATCCTTCAAAATCCTTAAAATTGAGAATGGTATTTTAAGGGCTTGAAAAAGGACGTTTTTTTGAAAATATTATAATAGCAGAATATATCGATATATTTAACTTTAATGCATGTTGTGGAGTTGAGTACAATAAATAAAATCTTTCTTTTCTTTTTAGTCTACATTCGTATGTTGGACAAATAAATAGGAATTTTATAAAATTTCAGTGGAATCTGGTTGATTTCAATGCAGATTTTAGCTTCCAAAAAGTGCTTGAAAAATGTTCTGTAAGTGCTTAGAAAGTGCTTGAAATTGATCTCAACAATTCAGTATGAACTATGTCTATGATACATAAATCTGAAAATGTAAGCTGTTAATTTCTGAGCTAAAGTGATTTTTTTTTCACAGGTACACAGGTTTTAATTGTGTTGTCTCATATTTTTGTCATCTGAAGAATCTTTTGTATCAAAATTTTTAAAAGTGGTTACATGTTTTTCGATTGTAGATTTCATGGACATAATGAGTTAAACTTGGTTTGTGCATGCTATGTATATGCAATCTTTAGATACATTTTTTGTAGTAGAAGCAGTCTATTTACTTGGATACTAGATTTTTGGTAGTAAGAAATGGGATATAATATTGAAATGGCCCTTTATAAGATGAATATTCATATAAACTAATATATGGACCAAGATCACTTTCTGATGAGAATACAGATATTTTTTGAACAGTAATTAGTTTAAGTACATTTTATATTATTAGCTTATTTTCCATTTTATAAACCAAAATTCTTATTTCACTTGAAGTATAAAAACTATTTTTACAAGTATGTGATTTTCTGTATAAATTAGCATGTCTTCGAAAATTCTGAAGAACATAAAATCATGGATTAAATATGTTTCCCATAGCTGTAAAAAAATATAATACCAAGTTCCATTGATGAAAAAAAAGTAAAATTGTCCAAAGACATAAAATTCCCCAAGGCTTAGACAACAATAAACAATATAAATTACACTGAGATGTACAGTAGCATACAATTCGTGTATTATGTTATGAAGCTGTCACTCAAGCATCTCCTATTAAATCTTTCAGCATTCCAGAACAAAAAATGTTAATTTATATTCTTTTTTTTTTTTTTTTCTGGTTACCAGGTCAGTCAAATTGACCAAACCCATACAGAGATACAATAGTGAAAATAAAATATAAAGTTTTTTTCTTTATAAAAAACGTTTGATAATTATCTGGAGGTTAGAGATTTTGCATGTGAAGTTTGACAATTTTTTGGTCCATAAAAGTATTTTTAATCTTAAAATCAAAATTAACAGTTCGAAAAGAAAAAAATGGACAAGCAAATAATTTATTTAAAAAAATCTTAAAACTTAATTTAAAAACCTGATATTATGTGTACAAATGCCTTGTAATGTGTAATGATAATCAGCAAAATTTGTGAAATTATGCATACAATACAACTGCTTTATGGTTACTTTGGGGGATATGGGTGTGGTGGAATCCACCCACCCATACTAAAAAGGTTAATGACAGTATTTCAGGAAAGTACAAATAAAATTCTTGTTGTTAAGTGCTTTAAAGATAAATCATTTAAAAACTAATTTCAAAGAGAAAAGTGTGATTATAGAACTTGGTAATGATTGAAGCATACACGTGGTAGTAAAAGAAAGTGCTTAGTTACTTTCAAGCGGGAGGGAAAAGCCTTTCTTGTCCCCTGCTAATGTGCTGCCTCGGGATTCCATTTCGAAAAAGTTGCACTTATCATTAAAGAAGTTCGTGTAGATATTGACTGGTAACAGAAAATTGTTGGTATGTTTAAAAAGAGATTAGATATTTGTCAGAATGAGAGAACTGTGAAACACAGTTGAATTGTATTTAAGATTGCCAGTGAACTTTGTCCAAGTGTTGAGAATTAACACTTTCAATTCGAAATGAGGTTTTAGTGAACTGTAAATCAGTTTTCTCAGCAGTTAGTTTTAATGATAAAACCACCAATCACTTTCTTGTCCTCAAACTTGATCTTCAGTATCTGACTTAAGCTCTCTTGAAGAGAGTGTTTATTAAAATATTTGTGTATGCAAGTCTAGGAAACTTCATTTAACTGATAATTTATTCTAATACTGATTTATTGGAAGGGTTATTTTTGTATGTTATGTATTAGTAAGTAATACTTTCTGTGCTACTAACTCAAGATTGTAAGCTGAAAATTGTTCAGTTTTTGTGATATTTTATTAATGTTATAATTTTCAAAACTATGTGTGATGGTAACTTGTGCTTTCTGTGCAAACTTCAGTAACTTGTTTTCTGTGGTTTCACACACAAGTTGTAAGAACTTTTGAAGAGAAAGAAATGTTTTCTACTAATATGTGATTATATGCTATTTTTCTGTCAAATCCCATGTGTGTAAGAGGAATTAGAATTTATGGTTCCATAAGTCTGGTGCTGGTGGACTTTTTCAGCTTAGGTGTATGGATATCAAGGAATATTAGTTCTAAAATACATCAATTTGAAAAACTACTTAACTGAGTTTTAGTGATGTAGCTACTAGTGCATTTATTTAAGAATAGCTCTAAAATTTTGTATTCTTGTTTTAAGTGCACTTACTTAGAAAACTATCTGTTTCGAAATTTTCAAAACTTGAGCACAAAATGGGAATGAGGAAATGCCTTTCTTTTTCCAACAAACATTTCATCATATAGTTTTCTTGTTGTTTTGAAATTGAGTAGAATTAGTTCTTTAAAAAAAGTAAAAGATTAAAGCACTTATTTAGTTATTCAGCTGTTTTTGTAGGATTATAGTTGCTATTTATCTGAAAGATATACAGGGTGTAGCAAAAGTGACTGTACTGATGTTTCACCTAGTTTAATATCAACTTGCACAGGCCTGTGATGGTTTTATATCTTGAAAGATTTACATGTTCTACAGTAATTCCTGTATGCTGAATCTGAAAATATCCATTTTTCTTCATCACGTACATATTTTTTTTCACAAAACATCATAACGCAATACATAAAAGAAAGACCACAGCACATAGTTTTGAGACTAAAAGACTTAGATTTTGCACACAAAAATCAGGATGAATGAGGATGCATATTTGTTTGACATCAGTTTTCTTTCATTTTCTTTAGTTTGTTTTTACTTTTGTTAACAAACATTGTAATAAAAAATGTTCATTGTGCTAAACGAAATAATTTGATCTAAGTAAGTTTTTTCCTTCCTGATTTGTAAAAAATCCTTACGTGATAGAAAAAAAATGAATATTATATTCGATATCTGTGTTGCTGAATTATGGAAAATTCGTTATTAACACCAAAACTTTTATGAAGTTTAAATTTGCAGGCCTGTGATATTACTCGGAGACTAACAAAGAAATTTATTTCTGTTGTCTTTGTAGTAGTTCAGTAACCCTTTGCCCTATTTTATATATAAAGTACAGCATTGTGAACATGCCTTTAGACTTCTCTTGCAGGTTCGTGTATAAGGTGTGACAAAATTTCATTTTGAACAGATCTATTTGACTGCAAAATTTGCAATTAGCAAAACAGTTTTCTTACACAAGGAATATCCATCTATTTTAAATAAATTTTTACTCATTTAACATTAAAAACAAATTGTTTGAGTTGGATAACCTTGAACAAACTTTAAAATTAAGATATTTTTCATTGTATATTAGTCTACTTGGATTTTTTTTACTTAATTTAAAATTTACCAAGCTAGTTATAAGAGCAAATTGAAACTTTGATTACTTTTATTTTTTTGTATGTAATAGGAAAAAATGTATCCTTAATTCAATACTGACAATTTAAAAAAAAAAAGTACATATTCAAGAATTGTATTTCTTAGAACTGAGTTTGTCGTTTTTAGGTTTTGAAACTCAATTTGTATTTTCACAGCTTTTTGAAGTTTGGTTAATAATAAGTACAGGCTTGACGATGTAAAAATATTTTTCTTTCAAACTAGTCGGATGCTAGGTAATTAATTTCACTTGATAAATTAATTAATTACATAGTATGTTTTTGTTTCTTATAAATTCTAGTTTTTCTATATGAGTGTACATTGCAAACTTGTAACAGTTCAATCACGACTATGAAAATTTGATAAATTCTAACAAGAATTTTTTTATATGGCATCAACAAAAGATAAGCTTTCCGGAAATTGCACTCTGCTGCTTCTTCAATAATGTTTAGCAAGTATTACCAGCTTTCTAAAACATCATGAAAAGATGCCACATTTTAATTCATGGTTGTTAGAAACTACTGCTCATAACTTGTGTGATGTAATTCTTTTTCTCTGTTTTTCAGGTGTACAGTCTTTATTTTCTGACAGGTTCTACATGTTTTTAATTTAAAT